CGATCAATTCATTAGGAATCAATCAGTCAATTACTAGTCCATCATTTCATTTTTTTTTTTCTTTCTTCTCATAATCCCTATCCAAATCATATTATTACCTGCTACGGCCGGTCGAACTGTAAGGTCTTGCGGGAGTGGTGCAACCGGACTCCCCAGTTCCCGGTTCCGTCTTGCTTCCCAGAACAGTTGTAGTATTGATATTTATATAAAAAGAAAAAGAAGAAATGGGGAAAGAAAATCGGTTTGCAGAGTAATCGAGACGAAATTTTGGTACGAATCGAGTCATCAACATCATCTTCGTCTTCCTCTTTGTCCTCTAGGCTCCTCCATTATTGATCGATCTTATCGCTTCAGATCTCACCTCTTCATTTCTCTGTAAGTCTCTTCTCTTATTAACCGACTCTTTCGTCAACGATGATCGTTTGCTTCTAATAAAATTCTTCTTATTCGTTAGAGTTAAACTGTTCAGATCGATCTGTTTCTCTTAGTCTGGGTTTCAAGTTTCGTTTCGATTGATTTAGTGTATGATCAGTTACTGGAAATTACGTTGCTTGATTGGACGGTTTTCTATTCCAAATCACAAGTTGATTGATCTTTAGTACTAACTGAAATTACTTTGTTTCCCTGACTACATGCTTGATTGTACTAATATGGTGTCTCGATTTCTGAATCTCTTATGACGTTTTCATTACTTTGTGTCAGAGAATTTAGACACCATTGTTGCTTGTATATTCGAAATCAACATTGGTTTTTGTGCCCACAACATCATACACAAGTTTCCTTGTTAGATTGTTGTGTGACTTACACAAGTTTCCTTGTTAGATTGTTGTGTGACTTGTTCTGACAGTAAGTTCGTTGTTTGTCTGCTCAACTTTTTGTAGTTTTATATATCACAAGTTCTCTTGACAATGGGTGACAAAGAGGAAGCAGCAGGTGATGAGAACACTGGACGTGGAAACGATTGGGAAGTTGTCTCACTTACAGCTTCAGCTTATGCTGCTGCTCCTGGTCCCAAACAAGTTGACTTGAAAGACGATGAAAAGGAAGTTACTCGTCACGAAGCAGAGACATCTCACCCTTTATACATGTCTCGCCACTTCGTTTTCCCATCGAGCGAGCACGAGAATATCGCCACGGAATCTAGTGAGCTTACCGAGATTTGTGATGATGATAAGGCAAGCAAGAAGATGGATTCCGGATTCTCTTTGGAACAAGAAACCGGGTCTCGCGGGAAGGAAGATGGAGATTTGAATCTGAAAGGGTTGAACTTATCAGATGAGTTCCCGGGACTCGAGTTTTTCGAGGACAAAGGCAAAAGAGAAGAAAACATTTTCATGAGTTCTCTGCACGACGAAAGAGCTATTGGTGGATCTCATGTCTATGAACAGAACGAACCTGTTCATGAACCGACTGAGCCAGTCACTCCACGTCTTGTTGTTCCAGATGTTTCAGCTGATTTGAATCCTGCTAAAGATGAGAAGCATGAAGTAGCAAACGTGAACGACGCCCCACCTTGCGAAGCTTGGTGGAAAAGAAGTGCTGCGTCTTTGATTTCACAAGCGAAAGAAACAAACACAGTTTGGTCGATCTTCATAGCTGCAGCTGTAATGGGGATTGTGATCCTTGGCCAACGCTGGCAACAAGAGAGGTGGCAGATTTTGCAGCTCAAGTGGGAATCAAGCATTGGAAACGAGGTAAATATCAATTATGCATCTTCTTGTTAGCAAATACAGGACTTGTTGACCCTTAAGCCATTGTTTTTAACACTTTTTTGGGCTGCAGAAAGCTGGAAGATTGATGGGACCAATATCGCGATTGAAACAAGCTTTTGTCGGGGGACATCGAAGGGATTCTTTCATCCGAGTCAGCTCCCAAAACGACTGTTAAAATGAAGACGTGAAAAAATGATTAGCTTTGATGATGACGATTAAAAACAACAAGAGTAAGATTATATATAGTGTGTGGATGACTCTGTGTCTTGGCTGGTTCAAGAAAACTGATACTATGTGTTAATATGTTGGTAAAGTATGGTATTTGAATGTTTCGTGCTTCGGGTCAGTGTTTGTGGGTATTTGGTTATGTATATATCTGAAGTGTATGCTTTGTTTCAACTTATTTATCATTATTTACCTCTTGAATTTGATGGTTTAAATGCTTATTGGTTTCTGTTTAAATGAGATATTCAGGGTCTCTTCTTGTCATCTTCAGTTCTTCAGGATTTCTCAATGTTTTTATATGTCGGACCGACCCAGCTGGTCGGGTTGCTAGATTTAGCTAGTGGTCTGGTTCGTGTGTTAAGACTGGAAAATTCGATAGAAACCTACTAACTGGTGATATTGACCCGATTGGTTCATATGAGTCAAACTTCACTTCTACTTTGATTAGAGAATTCAACCAAAAAATAAATATTGGAAGAAGATTATTTTATTTCAGTTATTAGAATATAATAATTCTAATGGAATTTAGTTTGAAATACAACAACATTGAAGGGCCTCTACGGTAGGATTAGGGATACAACAACAACAATCGCTTTTCCTTTGGCATGGTCCTTTGAATTCACATTCTGGAAACTTATCATCCATAGTTACGTTCCTGTTTGATCATCATATTTATAAAATCATTATTACCTTCATCAAATCTTTTAGCAAGTTATAAAGCGAATACAATAGATAAACACACGGATATATATATTGAAGAAGAATAAAAAAAAGAGGTGGAAGTGATCTTATGAGTGCATTGTGCATTGTTAGCAAGGAGTGAAACAATGATCAAAAGAGCAAAAACAAAGTGAAGCTTTGAGCTTGACGACGACATTTTGCTTACAAATTTTTTGTTTTGTTTAATTTTATATGAAATGTATTTCTAAATGTATTTCTACAAAGCTATATGAAAGAAAAGCCAAGACTCAATGGGTTATTTATATAGAATGAATATCCTAAAACACTAAACAAATTCAAATTTTAAAAACAAAATCATTTATGAGTGATTGATTTTGTTCTTTATGGAGTTTATTTTTTTGAAAAATAAATCATTAAGATATGTAAGCATGATCACTCACAATTAATATATACAAATACTGTAACACTTATAAATTTATACATGACCTATTCAAAAATTTATAAAAAAAAATCACAAATTTTGAAATATTGACCTTTAAGTATTTAACCAAAAATGTTTTTGTTTGATCTCGTTTACAATTGTATTTGGCTAAAGATGTTGGGCATTTGAGTAAATATGCCTATGAGTGTAAATGGTAACAGAGGAATTTTGCGAAATTACAGAATCTTGCGGAATTGTTTGTGATTTTTTGCAGAATCTTGCGGAATAACACTAAATTCAAATGGTAACAGGTGAATCTTGCGGAATGTTGCGGATTTTTTTTAAAACTAATTAAATATTTTTTTATAAAAGTATTAAATTTTACAAAAATACTAATATTTTATTAAATATTTAACTCGTAAACCCAATTTATTTCACAAATATTTTCGTTTTTATGTTTATTTAGAAAAAATTATAAGTACATTTTCTATTAACTACTAACATTGGGAGATTAGCTAGAATAACCTACTTTTTTTTAAAATAGCTAGAATAACCTTACTATTTTTTTATTGCTGAAATAACCTATTTTAGATTTTTTTTCTTTTATAATACCAAAATTGTCCTTCATAGACTCTGCCGAGGTATTGGCAAGACTCTGTCGAGACATTGGCAGACTCTGCCGAAATATTGGCAGAGTTTACCGATGTATTGGCAGACTCTGCCAATATCTAAAAATACGCAGACTCTGCCAAAACATTGGCAGAGTCTGCCGAACATTGGCAGAGTTTGCCAAACATTGGTAAACTCTGCCGAAACATTGGCAAGACTCCGCCGAGGTATTGGCAGACTCTGCCGAGGTATTGACAGACTCTGCCGAATCATTGGCAGANTCTGCGGAAACATTGGTAGATTCTACCGATGTATTGGCATACTCTGCCAATATCTAGAAATACACAGACTCTGCCAAAACATTGGCAGAGTCTGCCAAAGACAATTTTGGTATTATAAAATAAAAAAAATACAGAATAGCTTATTTCAGCAATAAAAAAATGGTAAGGTTATTCTAGCTATTTTTTTTTTAAAATTAGGTTATTCTAGATAAATTTTTCTTTTTAGAATGTACATAAAAAAACTTATTTAGAATAGACAGTAAATAATTTGTTTAAAAAATCAAATGTTTTGAGAATTAGAAAACAAGACTTTAATATTATCAAATTTTGAAATTCTTAGAATCTCGCCAAAATTTACAATTGTTTTTTCTTTCTTTCAAAATCCCCATTTAATTTAGTATATTTTTAACAAGAGTACAATTATGAATTTTATACATAGTTTTGACTTAATGTAAACAAATCTTTTTGTTAAACGTCAATATTTGAAATCTTTTTGTTAAAACGTCCAAAGAAATTGTAACATAATGTGTGATCGCTAATCCCCAAACAATCGCTCTTCATCTTCCATCTCCGTTTTTGTTGTGTCGCCAAAGCTAAGTCAACTACGGTAGTAAATGCTTTTGAAAAATCAGGTTGGGAGGCAGTTAACACCGAAAATTGAATGCTTAATCATGATTTCATCATTTGTAGTATATACTTTAGTTTATATATAGTATAAACAAACACTTCTTGTCATGTGGTCGAAAATAAATTACTAGTTTCTCGACTCAAATTTTAGTGCGGAAATATAAAAAGAGAGTCAACGCTAAGTTATAAATGCATTTTGCATCTTGAGGTTGGCAGGCCCATCTACTCCTTATCTGACACCTATAGTTGTATTCCACTTTGTTACACACATGTTATTTGGTTTTAAATAGTAGTATATGAAAATAGTTATTACTAAATTACCAAAAAA